GTGCGACTGGTGGTGGTCGCACGGCAGTGAAACACCGTTACGGCGTGCAGCTGATACAGTATTATATATCATTACAATATACGGATTCATCATCCGTAACAGTAATACATCAGACATTTGAACTGATGTTTCGTTGCTATACAACCAGGACGACCTATGAAATAAAGAATAATAAGAGGGAGAGAAGGGGGACTTACCTGAAAACCTTATTGCCCTAAGCAAACATTCAGGGTCAATGCGCCTACACCTTGTGTAGATAGCATACCGTCACAAACAGTTGGCTATGGTGCAGAGATAAGGCGACATCAGCGAGACAGCTTCCTTGCGGCTTTTACTACCACGCGTCATAATCAGCCATTACCCCGCAGATAACTCAGCACCAAACACACTTTACACAGGCAATCCGATTAGGATACGGCAGCAGACGCGCCACTGGTGTTTACTGCGAGCCATGTCCTCTAAAGTCTCGAGCTAAGCACAAGGCGAGTCACGTGGACTCCAGCCAGAAAGGCGACACGGACCAACGGCAGCCAGTTTGATCGTCTATTTCATTTCCCGCTGCCAAGTCAACTTTCCTCCACCTCGTCTTGCGCCATCCTACACCTGGCAGACTAAACCAAACTTTCATAGGTAAGCGGTGACCAGGCATACGTAGCACATGCCCCAGCCAAGACAACTTATTCAGTGTTATCTGTTATTTTGTGGAGATAGAATGATTATCACTACCTAGTAATCGCCTACGCACATCATCGTTGCGGACACGCTGGTGCCATCCGATACCAGCAATGCGTCGCATACAACGATGATCGAAGACTTGAAGACGCCTCATATCTTCAGGCCGTAGGGTCAAAGTCTCACTACAATCGAGCAGAACGGCCCTCAATGTGGCTTTGTATCCACGGCATTTCAGACGGAGGGAAATTCCATTCTGTCGTCAAAGATGCCGCAGGTTCCGTGAGGCAGCTCTGGCCTTTGCAATGCGTGAGCTGACGTCAGTTTCTATGCGCCCATCGTTGTTGATGCAGCTGCCAAGATAAGTGAATTAATCAACCACCTCGACCTCCTTGTTAGCAAGACTCAAGGGGTCATCAAGTGGCTGGTGGTCCTGCAGCAACACTTTGTACTGTGAAGGTGCGAAGTGTATACCAAATAACGGGACCACTCTGGACAGGCTATTCAGGGTTGACTGGGTCGCCCCAACATCGTCGGAAAGCAACACGATATCGTCCGCATAATCTAGATCAACTAACCTTTCACTAGACAGCAATTCAACGCCTACATCGTGAGATTGCGCAAGGGAACACTCCATGATAGAGTCCACGACGAAATTGAACAAAAATGGGAAAATCGGACAACCCTGACGAATGCCACTTGTGGTCGGATAGCTATCCGATAGGCCACCGTAGACCCTGACTCGGCCTGTAGTGTTCGAGTATAGAGCACGAAGGATGTTCACATATTTCGTGGAAACACCTTTCCGCGCTAGTATTTCGAACAGAATCGAGGGATGGACCAAACCGAACGCATCCTTGAAATCGAGGAACACAGCTATTGTCGGTCTGCGGTATGCGTGGCGCTGCTCCAGCACATGCCGCAAAGTGAATATATGATCTACATAGCCACGTTCTGTGCGAAAACCGGCCTGCTCTTCTCTAATCCGAGATTCCTGTTTCACAGTGAGGCGATGAAGGAGAATCGAGAAAAGTAATTTTGACACAACTGGCGTTAGGCTAATACCCATACGGTTAGAACGGTCTGTGCGACTGCCCTTCTTGTACCTTGACACTATAATTGATTCACACCAATTCTCCGGGACACTATCTTCCTTCCAGATATGTTCGAGTATGGAGGTCAGTGCTTTGCAGAGGACCTCACCTCCATCCTTAAATAGTGCAGATTGGAGGGAATCCGGACCAGCAGCACGAAAACGATTGATGGCTGTGATCGCGTTTCGGACCTCGGCCTCCGACGGAGACTCTAAACTTACCGTCCATGGCTCGTCCTGCATCACCTGAGTAGGAAGAGGTCCGGGAGCATGGGGACAGCCGAAATGACCTTGAAAGTGTTCCGCCCAACAAGCCATACGGCGTGCCTTATTGTGTACCAGTGCACCTGCGATGTCGCTGGTTGTCTCAGTGACGCATGATTTCATGGGAACAGTGGGGCGGATCAGCTAGAAGAGCTTACGGTAATTGCCTACGGCTCCTGCATCCTACCTTTCTACAGCCCGAGTGGTCCACCGAGCTTCCTTTTCAGCACGTAGGCTCCGCTTCTGTTCGCGCCTAATAGTCCGTCTGGTCACATTTTGCTCAGATCCAACCGGGACGATTCTTCTAGATTCCAATAGGTTCACCGACCTCTCGGATATCCAGTGACTGGTGTGCTGACCATTGATACTGCCACAAGCAGATGCTGCTGCGTCGTGCATGGCGGCCGAGATCCTATTCCACTGAAGCTCAGTGTCATTAGAACAAGACAGCGAAAGTTCGACACGCAGTACGTCTTGATAGGCTTGCCTGACCGAGAATTGAGACAATTTCTCAGTTACCTATTGTGGGAGACGCTTCGTGCGCCTCCCGGTAAAGTTCATGGATAAATGACAGCGTACCAAGGCATGATCAGAGTCGACACAGGTACTCAAGTACGACTGGCAATCCAGGATGGGACCACGCCATCTGTAAGTTATGGCAATGTGGTCAATTTGGGTCCATCGCCGGCAAGCTACAGGAGGACGCCAAGTGGCACTTCGGCGCCCACTGCGTCTAAAAGCAGTGCTACTAAGAAACAATTGGTGCTCCTCACACAGTTGCAGCAGACGCTCACCGTTGTCAGTCCGTTCGGAGTTGAGCCCATAATTACCACGCAGCTGAGCTTCCGAATAGCACAGACGCCCTACTTGTTCGTTTATACCCACTGCAAGTACTATACTACCTGAACTAGTAATACTGTGTAGTAGCGCGTTCACCTCGTGATAGAATGTGTCCTTGAGGACATCTGAACTGCAGTCGGTGGGAGCATAAACGGAAATCACACACAAACAGCGTTTTGTACTACTTCGTGAATCAACCTTAGTTGATGTCGTCAAACGGGATGCACACAAACGACTGTTCACCGGAATCCAATTAACCAACGATGGCTCAGCCTTGGAGCTTAGAATGATACCTACACTAGCTTGAGCCGTGAGTGCTGCATCGGCGTCTCCGGAGGCGTGCAACCAATAACGAGAGGATAAGCCGGGTGCAGTTAATTCAATAACCCCGTTAGGGTCATTGATCCTAGTTTCGGACACACAACACACCTCAATACCCAGTGTGTCCAAGGTGCGTGTGAGTGCAGCCTATTGACCCGTTTGTCTTGGAGTGCGAACGTTGAACGTCGCCATGGCAACGGGACAGCGTGGCCTTATAAGGGACTTTTGCCGATAAGCGTCCGATAGGCGTTATGTGATGGTGGCTGCAGATGGTTCTATTTCAGTGGCACTTCGTTTGCTGTCAATTAAGCTGAGAATTATAGAAGGAAGGTTAGTAATGGGGGTTGGGCTAGGTGTAAGAGAAACAGGTTGAAAAGATAGAAGGGAGGCGCCAGCAGTAGCATGTTTTCGCTTATCCGCCCTGCTGTATGTAGCAGATAAGGCGAACCTTGATAACCTGCGCAACGGCCCATGCAGGATGAAGTTTATATTTGAAGAAAAAGTCATGGTTTTATGTGAGTTGAGATACCATCAGGGCGCCCAGACCTAGAGAGGAAGACGATTAGGGTCCTCATCCAAAGCCTTCGGCTTGAAATCCAGTCCGCAAGGCAGCGGGGAGGTGGTAATGATTGCGTTTTACAGATATGGACGCCATCCCATTTCAAACCCCCAACCTGGAGGACCAGGAGACTAAGTTTGTCTGACCTCTCACCATTGACCGAGTTGGTAGGCATAGCTCACAAGGTGACCGGAGGCACCATCTAGTATAGTTCAATGGGTCAAGGAGGTACGCAAACCGTCGCAGCACGTTAAGGTGCAGTCTCGTTCAATTCTACAAACACTTATCGTTGGAACGTCAAGCGATCTATCCAAGTATCTAACGGGCTGTGAAACTAGATGGCGTGTTCGAGCAGATTTAAATGTCGTGGTTAAAAAATACTTCGAAGTCGTCAATGCTCTGGAACAGTTCACAGAAGGAGAAAACGCAACCTATAAGATCGCATGCAGCTTTAGTTCTCAAGTTGGTACGATCGTTTCCATATACTTGTTTCCGGGATTTGCAGATCTGTTCCCCCAGAAAGCATTGATGCACATTTAAATATTCCAACAAAAAGGCTAGGTCAGTAGCAAAGTTCTGTCAAGCCCTTTGTATTAAGAGGTTGCTTTCTTCAAACTAGTGAGAAGGTGGATAGTGGCCTGAAGTAAACAAAAACCGCTCTGAATTGGGAATAAGCATGGAGCGTCGAATCCATCGAAATAAACAAATGGATGTTTAAGGATTGTTTGCTACATCGATGCGGTTTGATGCTAGTTTGAAACAGGAAATGCTATCTGTCATAGACAGGTTGACTGATTAAATATGTGATAGGTTTCAGCAAATTTATAACGTTGCAAATGAAGATTACTTTTTTACATCATCAAGTCTGCTTGTTGATAAGTATAATTGTCCGTTTAGCGAAACTGAGGAAGACATAGAAAAAGAGCTCTCTGCCAAAATGTGATGGCGGTAATTTGTGAAATCTTCAGCAAAGCCACAAAATCAATGAACTCTTCAAATTTTTGTGTTCCATACATGCATGTCCCTTGGGGAATCTGCATTGAAAATGGGATGTTGCTACGCATCTTCCTTACCCGAGCTATCAACATTTCTATCTGTGGGTGCTCTTTCTCAAAATTCGAGCTTATAAAAAACTATCTTCGTTCAGCAATAGACCAGACAAGACTCACGGACTTGGCACTTCTCTCTATAGTGAGGTAAGTTGCCGATGGACTGAGTATTGATGTTCTTATCTATAATTGTGTCGCAAGTAAATCCCGAAAAGTGTATTTGTAAATGTTATACACACGTATTACAACAATAAAAATGACTGCAGTTACAGCAGCACCCACAAATTAGATCTTTGATTGTTGTTCTATGGAACGAAGTATTGAAGCGTTGTTCACAGTTGTGAGGGTTTAAGGACTTACAACTGCTGGGGGAGGCGTGAAAATCTTACAACCGTCCCGGACGGCAGAAGCAGTTACCATATCATTAGCTTTACTGTTTTAAATGACCTAAAATTAAAGTATTTGGGTTGCTATCGGTTACTTTTATTTAACTGTAAAATCAATGCCTCCAAATCATGAGTTACGTATGCAGAAACCACATTTTCCATGTTGATCGGCCCTAATAAACAGCATATTTGTGCATACTACAAATACAATGTCGCATTTTCTAGGTGCTTTTATGGAAAAGGTATATAAATGACTTTGGTCAATGCAAGAAATAAGTTTTCTTTAATACAAAGCTTGTAGACTCAGTAAGAAGATACCTTAAATCAGTCGATTAACTCAGATCCAAATCATCAATTAGCGAGTTACAACTTTGTCCCGTTCACTTCCCAGTGACCAGTGCGACTGCTTGAGTGACCTCACGGTAATTTACACAAAACTGCGTAATATGGAGTGCTCAAGATTGCCGTCAGCTTCCTGATTTTAACCCCGCAGGTGATGAAATCTTAAAAAGGAAGCAGTTGAAAATTTCATCTGGAAGTTCGCCAAATTTGTATGGAGAGCAGTCAGTTACTTTCTCTCACGGGAATCGTGATCCGCTGGATGTAGCTTATTAATGCCCGGTGTAAAGATGCGGGAAAGTGGGGATGGTCCTCTTGGAGGGTTTGCGTCTTTGCGTTGTGGTGAATTGGTTTTCAAGGATTGTGAGTTCGGCGCACCGGAGGTCGACTGGGGCGTAGAAAAGTTAAACAGAATATTACTATTCCCGCATATGAAATCAATCAGGACGTCAAAGTAAAGAATCCAGTTCACCGGATCACGCAGTCGTGCCGTTGATATCATCCAGTGTATACATGCAGTCAATTCAATAGTGGGGATAATCTTTCTATTTGTAGACATCAGTGGCGTAACACCTGCACGTATCCGATGACCATGTAACCAAAGCGAAGGATAGTACCTAGGGAACGTGTGATAGATCGCGCTGATGATAGCAATAAAGCAGATCTATGGGGAATATCTTTCTAAATTGTCTAGCCACTTGTTCGATAAACTCAGACAACCACCACACATTGAAGCTGCAAAAGCGTAACAGTGTAGGCTGCATGTTTGATGGATAGTTTTGCGTGCATTGCACGGTTAGCTTTGGCGCTGTGACTTCCACCACAGCTGTCTATCGAAGCACTCTATCCTTGCTATGGCTGTGCATTGGAGCAAGGGAAAAAACGGGTGGTATCAGGTTTCAATCAGGGAGCAACTGCTGATAGAATATGGATAATGTTGTATGAATGGCTGCGGGGAGCTTAGGCCTCACTCTACTATTCTCTCCTCGAGCAAGCTCTAGGGTCGTTGAAGGCCTACAGTGCTCGAAAGCTCTAAGGCAGGCGGAAAATTACGGATGGCCAGCGTTACCTTTAAAGCGCTAGCTTTGTGGACATTTTCTACTCCACTGATGCCAACTAAAAGCATAGCCATATTAGAAAATCTAGACTGGTCAACATCAGGTAAATGCATACAGTTCTAGACTGTAATACTAAAACGATTGATAATTAAAATTGGACCTACGTTTAACTCACCGTTTCAGATAATGCCCGCTGAAGCCGACCGTATAAAGGCGTCACCACCAATGGAATAAGACCGACCACCTGCTCCGCTGATTTAGGATGCTCTGCGGAGGCAACAAGGTTGGACATGCTAGTAATTCCTTTAAAAGTCGGGTGATCGTCCATTTTTGATTGTTCATGGCTCAGCTCTGCAAACATTTTATCCCCAGTGTTATCCAGATTGGGGTCATCGAGAATGCCGTTTGCGTGGACCCTTGTCATATGATGTGGAGATATGTTCCTGCAGAGTTCTTGGATTACTTCATCAAATCCATCCAGCTCTTCAATTTTGATGTTATCCGACTGATTGGTAACTGATCGCTTTCTATCGGGCGCCCGTTCCACATTGGGAATAAGCTGTACTTTTTGCCATATCTTTTCAAACTTGGGATAACGAACTGCCACCCCAATGCCATTAACGAATTCAGCATAACTTCGCTGAGGGGAGATTCTGTTCTCCTTCATAAATGACTCTGGTTTCGGTGGAAGTGAGGCAGAAGATAGTCTTCTCGATGATTCGTATTCCTAATGAATAAATAGACATTGCCCCATATAAATTTAGCACGGTGAAATAAAGCTAAGTCGCAACCAAGTTAATATTGGGAGAAAGATATTCGTAGCATAAAATATGCCGGGCAGATTATACCGCATGGTTTAAGCGAAGACTTCGTTGTGCTTCCAGTGGCCAGTGCTCTTCAGGACCACAAACCCGCCTGGTAACCTGTGGTCGCGGATTTGAGCCTGCATAGGGGACCGGGCGACCCTCGTAGTATCACTAGCCCCCGCGCGACTGGTGGTGGTTGGGCGGCAGCGACGCGTCGGTACGGTCTACCCAAGTTCTACTGATACCTTGCCTTGTGTTTCCAGTATCTAGGCATGCAGATAAGTAGAAAATCAAAAGATGCGAGTTCTAGGTTTAATCAGTCGTTTCGTGCACTCCTGTAAATCAGAAACTTACAACTAACCTATAAATCTACGGAAGACATAAGGGAATCGACTGCTGGCAAACAACTGGTCAATCAGTGCACCTTGAACTACAATGGCAAACCCAGGACTTCGCTATTTGTTTCCGTAGGTAAAACTGCGATTGCAGATGTGAGCTTTCTGACTACTCACCAGGGAGAGGAAGTACTTATCGGAGATGAATTAGTGGCTAATGTCCAGTAAATGTCTTGTGACTACCGACGCATCTCGGTTCCTCGTTTACGCGATTAAGGCTGTGTAACTACCGTGGGTGTGCTAACCGGTTTTGACACCCAAATTTCGGACAGTGTGCCCAATTTATCTGTCTCAACAGCTACAGACTAGTTTGTATGAACCATGGGACATGGTTGTGTCACCCCAGTTGATGGTCAGCCACGCGTGACGTGCGTGCTACTGGTTCATTTGGATTATTCCCCTCTATCCTCTCTCCATCTTCTCGCAGCGTTGTCACTGTACGCTCATTCGAACCGGATTTACCAGCTCTACACAGTGATCCACAGTGATACGTGGAAATATCTTCTACGATTAGAGGCTGTGCCATCACTAAGCGTTTTCACTGGCATCTGTGATTAAGCGCAAGCGTTTAATTCAATCGTATTGAGCCGATTGCCATTCTGTGTGACACCATTCGATACAGAATTCTCGAGGCAGACCGAGAAGCCTAAGCTTACTCCGATCCAGTGTTTCTCAACACAACTGTGAAAGAATCTGTGTTCAGCGCTCTGTTCAGGTTGCAGTCACTCGCCATTCCTTGTGACCTTGTCAGCCAGTGCGGCTGCATTACCCATCACAAGGACCGCGCGACCACGTCGACCGCTCATTTGACCTTGCAACCACCACCCTCGCCTGACCGATGTGCGCCGCTCTCAAAGCTGTAAAAGTACAGAACGCTAACCAACCCACTGGGTCAGCTAACGACACCAAATTGAATGGCAGAAAGGCGAAACCGAAGAGACTCCCATCGAAAGGCATTTGCGGGTTAGGAGAATGTCATCGGGTAGTAAAAATCGGTCTAGCTTGTTCGCACTGTTTGGAATGGTACCATACGAAATGTGCAAATGTGTCCGAACAACAGTTACGGGAGCGAAATAGCTCCCAAGATGCATTTTGGTTCTGTACTGCGTGTTCCACCATCCCCCTCGTTAAGTGCTTGCTTATCCTAGCTGAGAAATGCGACCGGTTAATCGCAGAAGCAGAGCAGAGGATAAACAATAAGTTTACTTCAATGGGAGCGAGTATGGACCACAGAAGCGTAGCGGCTGCTAAGCAACGGAATGCTGAACAAATCGCTTCCCCTGCACCGCAATCAGCCATGTCTCCATCTCCATTGTCTTCTCCAACTTTGGTAGAACGCCGGGCGAAAACAGACTGTACCTACGTGAATCAAGCAGTACTCACAGCAAAGAAAATCAGGCACCACTCAAAACGTCTGGTTAAGCAAGCTCCACTAGACCTGACATCTAGTATTAACAAGGATGTAGCAGCCAAACACCAACCCTTGGTACACGTAGCTCAAATATCTATTGTCGAGACTAAGCCTCCCAGAACATCGGTTACATATGCAGAGATTGCTGCAAGGGTCCACCGAGAGGCCGCCGTTGCGTCCTCTTCCATTGTAAACACCGTTAACGCAAATGGAGAGAAAAACAGCAAACAATCACTTATCAACAAGTCAAGACAAATGAGTACCATAACTTGTAGATCGATTAAAAAGGGATCCAACAACGGTGCCCGGACTGTTGTATGCTCAAATGTCCCTGAATCTACCGCCATCACATTGCGGGATAAGTTATCAGACGACCAAGACCAATGGAACTCATTGTGTATGCAGAAGAGTATCAAAGCCAAGCCCATAAACTTGTTACGAATTACTCGTCATCCGAACTCGCCACACTATGGTGAACCCAGACTTATTCGAGTAACTCTAGAATCCTCCACCGACGTAGAAAACGTTTTGCTCTCCGCAAGCGCGCTAAAACACGAATCCTGTGTGATACGTATCTATCCTGATGTCCCTTGGAGCGCGCGACAAACAAAACGAAACACCGAAGAGGGGCACAGCAAGCAAGACCGCCTAAACACAGTCTTCATACATGGCGTGCCAGAACATCCTTCTAACCATGTTCAAGATACCGGAAAGCACGATTTAGAACAGTGGCGGTTCATTCGTGAAACACTTTCTTTGGATGATGTTGTGGCACTATCGCTCACCAGGATACCTCTCCCATCGAATTATAGAGGATGCGGCCCTAGAATCCTAAAACTTGTGGTTCAGTCAGAGCAACAAGCAAAGGATGTTTTGGATCGATGGCGGAGAAATCGGAAACATCTTCCTTCCGAAATTCGGTTAAAGGTCGCAAACAATTCGCACAGCTCAACTATTAAAGCAACTGAAGCAGCAAGCATACTGACGAATGTACAAAAGTGTAACTTGACTGCTGCTTTAATGGACTCTGACGTAGGTCTAAACGAAGGCTGGGACGCACCTTGGCCGAATCAAGTTGCAAACGAGGTATCATTGACCCATCAAAAAAACGAATAACTGCCGACCTCCCATCGGTCGGCATTCTCCCACACTCGACAGCTTCACCTCTCTGCGGGCTCCTAGAGACCGAGAAACTGGCCTGCTTGTATACAAATGCTCAGGGACTTTCTAACAAACTGGTTGAACTGAAAGATCGCCAAGCTTCCGGCTCGTATGATGTCATTGGTATCACCGAGACATGGTTGCACACGGGAATGACGGACGCTGAAGTGTCGCTACCCGGCATGTCGCTGATCTGGAACGACAGGCTCACAAAAGGAGGAGGGGTAATCCTGTACTACCGAAACGACTTACAGTGCGAAGCCGTGGAGGATTCAGATTCGCAGTTCCCCGACTCTCTTTGGTGCCGGTTGCAGTTAAAAGGCAGGGACGCTTGCCTTATTATCTTGGTGTACCGCGCCCCTAACTCAACACCCGAAACCGACTACCACCTAATGGCTGCTTTAAGGTGCAGTTTACAACAAAAGTACACTCACATTCTTATCATGGGTGATTTCAACGTACATTGTTTAGAAGCCCCTGCCACGACCGGAGAACAATTCAAAACCGATTTACAAGATCTAGTAACTACTGTTCCTCTTTACAACCACATCACTTTGCCCACTCGGTTCAGAACTGGTAACAGGCCATCTGTGCTGGATCTTGTGCTTACCAACGAGGAGCATATGATTGATGCGTTGGTTTTAGACTGCCCGTTAGGTCGCAGTGATCACGCAGTGATCAGTTTCAACTTCGTCTGCTATGCAGAATATCGGAATGATAACGATGATACTGTGCGAACCATCACAAGGTACGACCGACTCGCCCAGCTAGTCAGCGCCGCAACATGGTCTTTCCTCGAAGAAGAACCCCCGGAAGTCGCCTGGCTCGAGTTCGTCAACACATTCAGTCAGCTGATTGCACAGGCTTCAGAGATAAAAGCTTGCAATAAGTGCAAATCCGTTTCTTTCGTTAGGAGCAGAACCCGAAAATGGATGACAGTACGCAACGTAGCATGGCGAGTGTACAGAGATGCTCCAGCACCAGAAACTTGGGACAACTACGTAGCCCAACGTAACCACTGCACTCAACTGTTAAGAGAAGACAAAGCCGCCTATCAGCAGAACATCGCAAAAACATTCAGTGCTAACCACAAGCTGCTGTACAAGCACGTTAATAGCCTACGAAAGATGAGGCAAGGATTTCCTCCACTCAAGACGGCTGATGGCCCAACAAGAACGTCTATGGAAGCTGCAAACGCGCTGCAGATGCAATACGCCCCCACGTTTCAAAGGGTCTTGCCACCAAGCGATCTACCAAGCTTTGTATTCTGCTCACCAGGACTAACCCACATCAATTTTACCGCAGAGGCTGTATTGCAAAAGCTGACTTCTCTACGCAAACACAGCTCGCCGGGTGTCGACGCCATTCGTCCAGAGGCATTGGGAGCAGCAGCAAACCAACTGGCAGGACCTTTAGCTCAGTTTTTCCAGCACTGCTTAGACCAGAACCAAGTTCCCGCCATGTGGAAGCTTGGAATAATAAGCCCGATTCACAAAGGTGGAAGCAGAACTGATCCCTCCAACTACCGCCCAGTAACCCTTCTTCCTATACTCTCCAAGGTCATGGAATCCATAGTTGCCGATGCACTGGTGTGCTATCTGGAAAACTGCAACCTCATCACTCCTGAACAGCACGGTTTCCGTCGACAGCGGTCATGTACAACTAATTTACTAATTGCACGCAGTAGTTGGACCGAGGCAGCTGACGCTGGAGAAGGTGTTGATGTGGTCTACCTGGATTTTTCCAAGGCTTTCGATCGTCTAGACCATCGGATACTACTATCCAAGCTGCAGCATTACGGGATCGGCGACCCTCTTTTAAGCTGGATCGCCAACTTTCTATTTCAACGGCAATTAGTGGTCAGAGTTCGGAGCTCTTTATCGGACCCCATACAAGTGGAGTGTGGTGTGCCGCAAGGCTCGGTTCTAGGTCCACGTTTGTTTTTGGTGTTTAT